GGGGGGAGGGGGGAAATCAAGAAAACTACACCAGACAATATGGTACAAAATGAGAAATGAAAGAAGTCAAAGGCTGGCTGACTATGCAGAAGCCTCACATCTTGAATACCTTCTTCAAGAAGAGGGTTGGAAGGCAATGGACTTGGCAAGCACCAAATGATGTAATAAGAAATGAAACTGATTATGTCCTGGTCGACAAGAGGCGACTGGTTACAGATATAACAGTCATTCTGGAATTGGCCGTCTGTAGACACAGTCAGATCATCAACTGGTTAGAGTGAGACCCAAAATAATCATCATATGGGAGGAAAGGAGAAGAGTGAGAGTTAGGCAATGCATGTGGATACAACAGTTCCACTCAGATCTGTTTAAGGATGCTGTTGACTCTGAGTTGTGGGAAATGGATGAGCCCGAAGATACTGATTCCGACTGCTATCACTTTTTAGCGAAGTTCATCAAATGTAAAACTGCTGCTATTGTAAAGAAGCCTAAGGAGCCCAGAAACTCTCTTCCCGGCAAACACTTGGTGTTCTTGCTAAACGGAGAGAGATGACAGCCAAGGGCAATACTAGCCTGGAATATAAGCTCGTCTGCAAAATGTTGAGGAGAAAGATGACAGAAGATTATGAGCAGTATCGCCTTGCAAAACAGTAAACGGCAGTTGAAGAGAAAACAAGTCTGCAAAGAGCTCGGCGTGAAATCCAGTTACGCCAAACTCTTCCAAGTGCATTTGTTAACGAAGAAGGTGGAAGAATGACAAACAGACATGAAATGGAGCAGATATGCCGGTATGGTGGCAGCAGCCCAGTTTTAGACCAAGTACACATAGAAGAACTTCGTGCGGGAGGTGATATACTCTTAAAAGCCCTTCGTGAAAGATTCTCAAGGTACATTAAAGAGGGCAGAATCTCAAAGGATTGGAAGAGATTGCAAATTGTTCTTCTGCTGAAAAAAAGGCAATCGAGAAGACATTCACAACTATCGACCCATTTGCCTGTTTCCTCATCTTTATAAGGTCTTTATGAGACTGATCCTTCCCCTACTGAAGGATCAGAGACATGAGACGGGAACAGGCAGGTTTTCGTAGGGGACTCTCTACAACGGACCACATTTTTGTAGTCGCATAGATGACCAAAAGGTGTAGAGAGTACAAGATCCCACTATACTTGTTATTCATTGACTTTAAAAAAGCCTTTGACTCAGTGGAACAAAATGCAGCTTTAAGTGCTCTCCTTTCACAAGGCATCTCCCCCCTGTGTATGTTGGGACTCATACAAGACTCCATGTGTTAGGGTTGAAAGTTTTATTCCTTTTATATTTCTTATTTTAGGTATAGTAATGTAGCAATAATATAGCAATAAAAAGGCATATATTAACACACATTTAATATTTTACAAATTAAGACCTTTCAGTTGAAGGTCTATTTTCTTTGTTCTGAAGTAGAAAAACAGTTCTGCATATTTTGGCTGTGTTAATAAGATTAGAGGAATTCTGCGAATGTTGAAGGCCAAGCCTTACTTTTGTTTAATTTACAATGCTTTTGCTTTGCCATGCAGGTCTGTAACCCCGGAGCATTGTGTATGTAAGGAGTGTGAATGTGTTAAGATAAGGGGCAAAGTTATATGGCTTTAGAACCAGATGGTCAAAGGAGGGGATTGAGCGAGTGCGGGCGAAGGCCAGACAACGAGACAACCTAACTGCAGAGGAGTCATCTATAACCATTAATGCATACCCCCTACTCATGAGAAGATTGGATAATTGGCAGATTGAAAAGCCTTAAAGCGGAGCAAGCACCCCCAAAAGAACAACTGATTACAGGATGAGCCTCGAAAGATGTTTGGAAACGATTGACATCAACAAGATAACATTCCGGTCACAAGCTGACAGAGCGGGATCCATGGATTTTAACAGAGAAGAAGGGATATATAAAGCAGGGTGCTTTGCTATGGAACTTTGGGTTTTGTCTTGCCAAGACATCATCCCAAGACGAGCATCGGATCGTGACCGACAAAAGGTCCTGCTCCTCCCTGTGCTCCATCTAGCTGACCACTAGATTGACACAGACTCTGGACTGGTAACTATATCATCTGGCAGAACTGTGAATGCATGATGTTTTGTGTGTGAGAGTGAGAGAGAGAGATTGAAAAGCATATGCAACTGTTGTACTCTCAAATGCAGCATACTGCCTTTTCCCCTATAAAAGATCTTGTGTGCTTTATTTAAGCATAACACATGAAGCATGCATCTATGGAAGTCATGCTTTTTGATGATGCCTTGATGGTCGAAGTTAAGAGAGGAGTAAAGCAGGGGGACGTTTGTTCGTCCAAGTTGTTTGCCAGCATCCTGGAAAACCACCTGCAAAATACTGAAGTGAAAGATGGATTTCTGATTGATGGCGAGGTTCTGCAAAAAGGAGCATCTGCGATGACATCATCCTAACTGTGTCAAAATACGAAACACTGCAAACCCTGCTCGGTGACATCAGTAAGAATGTGAAGGAGATTGTTTTTCCAGTGTGGATGATCAAGGCAAAGTGGATGAAAAATGCATATTGCCAGAATATGTCATACAGCTCGATTGACAGTCCATGGAGTTAGTGGATCAATATGGACAAGCGTTCCAGATGGACAATGAGTTGAGCAGGAGGAGGTCAGGTTGGGAGTCTGCACAGTGTTTTTGTTGATCCCAAACTTTCTACCACTGTGAAAGCAACTTCTTTAACACCAGTGTCCTTCCGGTAATTCTGTGTGGTTGCAAAACCTGGAACATGCTGCTTACAGAAGAATTAAAGCTGCAAACCACCCAAAGAGCAATGGAAAGATGCGTGGTGGGTTAAGTAGGTTACAGCGTGTTACTATCGATGATCTGTGTGCAAGAAGCTGTGTCAACACTATCATCCAAGTGACATACAATCGGAAAAGGAGATGGGCTGGCCATGTAGCGAGACTGACACACAACAGCTGGACAGCGCATGTACTTCAAAAGTACCCATTAGACATACAAAGAACAAGAGGAAGGCCTCCAGGATGTTGGGTGGATCCTTTATGGAGGATTCATGGAAGAACATGGATGAGAACCGCACAAAACAGGAGGGTGTGGAAAAGCTGTGATCTGCATCCATTGATGAAATCATGGACCCTCCAAGTATTCCAAGAGCTTCAGGGGGTAGCCGAGTTAGTCTGCGCTGGCCCCCGCCCCCCCAAAGGGACAGGGCCTGCAGCAGAAAGGTGTGGGGCTGGGAACTAGCCTCCCCACCAGTGATGTCTGGGTTTGGAGGTTTTGAAGTAAAAACATGGCAGAGGGCTTGTTGCTCCTGGCCCCGCTGCTAGTGCGTTGGCTGGCAGCCCCCTGGGGTTACTGCCACTATATAAAAGGCTCATGGCTCCAGCCTCTGCTTGGGTAGCACTGCAACTGGAAGCTATTTAAATAAGATCCTGCTGCCAGAGCCATTCCGCGTGTTAGCCAGGGAGGAGCCAGCCATTGGGCTGTATCTTGCCAGCCCTGGTATACATCCTCCTTTCATTGTTAAAGTTTTCCCTGAATGTACTTTCAACATGTGAAACACGTCTCCGTGAAAGGTGTATTTATCTAGGGTTCTGATTCCATTCAGGGTTGGTTTCCTGGATGTTGTTTCTGCATTCTCCCAGAGTTGAAATGATTCAGTGTCCGTTTTGCTCTTTGGGAGGGGATCTCAGCTCTGTGCCTTGGCTGGAAACCAGGAGAACGGGTCCAGCAGGACAGGGTGGAGAGACGCCCCCGAGAGCAAGAAGGTGAGCGGCAGTGGCTTCATCAGCACACCAGGAAGCAACCCCAAGGGGGTGACCGCATCCCGCCACATAGCTCACTGCATTAGGCTTTGTACAAACAGAAAAGACGACAGTCCCTGATCCAGAGGGCTCACAATTTAATTAATTTCCTTACCATAAGGAGAGTCTTCAATGTTGTCATAAAGTCTGCTGTAACCTCTGACCTCTGCAAAGAAGAGTGCTACAGTGGGGATACTCATCCAGGGCAGTGATTGGACAGCATATTTTATCTCGAGCTGCACCTGATTCTAAATATAAAAGCAGACAGGTTTAATTTTACAAGCAAAAACTATAAAATTAGTATGAGCCTTCATGAAAATGCCAGCGTCTTCCACAGAACAGGAAGAGCACATGTACTAGCCACTTAATGCCTGCTTCTGCACCAATTAAACTACTCACAATACCTTCCCTACTGTCCACAACACCTAGAGTACCACCCTTCTAATGAGAATCAATCATGCTCTGTCATGAGAGAGCAATTCATTATCCACCGTCAGTTCAGTCGTGCTGATAGTTGTCTTTTGCTGCGTCACAAAGTTTCTCATCAAGGAAGTGACACTCTCTGTCCTTTACTATCTCTGCTCCTCTCCCTGCCTTTAAATACACAAGGCTTCCTTCCTAATGTATTTTTGGCAGAAGTACTGTTGGCCTCATAGAAATGCTGGTCTGGAAGTGGCCTCAAAAGAAAAGTTAATTTATAATCATCCCTCTGTCTCTTTCCACTCATCATCATTTGTGTTCCTAAGGTGAAGTTTCATGTTTGCATAATTTAATGTAGCATTCAAGGGTGCTTTTTGTGTATTTTTGATTATTTGATAGCCAGTAGGCGTTGGAGAAAATGATCACAAGGTTATGAAGCGGCCAGCCCTGAGTTCTAATTTGGGTTTATTCACTGACTTAATATTTAGTTTTGGGGCACTTAAATTCTGCATCAATTTCCCCAGCTATCCTATGGTGACAACTACCTCTCCCAGGGATTTTGTAAGGGTTAACTACAGTATGTTATGAACATCTCAGGGGACTGAAGGGAGGTTATTTGTAACTTTGAACAAAAAATTACAGCTGAATTGGCTTAATTCAGCTTTGAAATTTTACTATGCAGGAAAAAATGCTGCTTTCAATCACCTTTTAAACACAGAAGCAGTTTCCTTATCAATTTTTTCTTTAGACTGCCCTCCCCCTTTTAGAGGTTTATGTTTAACAAGGTAACTTTTGTGTTTCCTTTCGGAAGGGGGAGGAGGAGGGCAGGTCTTTACTACTGTTTGATTGCATATTTCTGGTTCCATATGAGATGTGTAGTTGCTTGACTCTTTCATACCTTTGAGGTTCTACTGTAGCATACGTGCTGTTGTTTTAAAGCACAATGGAAATTGTTACTTAAGGCCCTAGTCCTCTTTTAGGATGGACTGCATGGATCTCACAAACAAAAGAAGGCAGACTCCATGTGGAGCCTCTAAATAGTTATCACCATATCCAAATAGTTGAAGTGCTAAGCATAGCTAGCCTTTACTCATCCAGGAATAGGAATTCTGAAGAGGTAAATTCAATCTGCCACAAAACTGGCAAGTTGTTAAACTAGGCAATAGATGAAATTCTGCTCACCTCTAGAAACTGGGGGTGTTGCTCCAGAGTGTGATCAAAAACCAAGTAGTAACTCAAAGTTCCAAACAGCAAATAAAGCACGAGTGCACCAACATTTGTTACAATAAGGAGACTGATGATCTGTCGAAAGGGTTCGTCCTCTGGCCACGTGGCTGGATACACATATGGTGTAAAAAAGTTGTAATCTACATAGTTCAGGACTAGATCCATTGTTATATCTAAACAACATAAAAAGCGTATTAATAATCTGCATCACAGTTACATGTTAATAGCATAAAACAAAATAATTCTACCTGTTCCAAACCCAGGATAAATGTGTGTCTTTAATCTGTATGTACTTGGATAATCAAAAACCAATGCCATGTGTCTGTTGTAAACAGTAGCATATTTGAATTCTACAGTGTTTCAAGTATATCCCTTATAAATAACACACAACATATTCCATGCTTGTGAGAAGGCAGCGTGACAGTTGTAGAGGAATCAGAAGCTCTGTTTATCTTCACAAAACAGGTACAGACAGAGGCTGTCTAGACTGCAGGCTTCTTTCAGAAGCAGCTTTTCCGGAAGAGATCTTCTGGAAAAGCTTATTTCGAAATAGAGTGTCCACATGCAAAAAGTGCAACGAAGTAGTGATGTGCTTTTTCGAAAGATAGCGTCCAGTAAGTGTGGACACGCTCTCGCATGTAAGGCCGCCTGGAACCAGTCCAGGCAGTTGCTTCTGGGTGCTGTTGCCTAAGGCTAGCTGAGACACTTGCTTAAAAGGACCCCCTAGGACGCCATTTTTCTGCTTCTGCTGTGTGCTCGCTACCTCTCCGAGGGACAGCAAAGCTTTAGCAATGCACACTCTGGTTGCCCTGCTTCGGGACACCAGAGCACGCTTCTTGCCATGGAACTGGGGCTGCCTCTAGGCATGCAATGGCCCCACACTAACATGCTGCAGCTTCTGCAGCACATTGTGCAGACTGCCTTCGTGGTCCTGCCTGAGCTCACGTCAGAGCTCATCAGCGAGACCCTCTGCCAGGATGCAGGAGCAATACCCCAGCAACCGCACCCTACGGTAGAGTGCGTTTGGAGCCTAGACACCAGTTCCCACTGGTGGGACCGACGGGTGATAGAGCATTGGGATGATCAGCAGTGGCACAACCAGCAGTGGCCCTAAAACTTCCACATGAGGAAGGCCACCTGGCTGGCTCACCCCTGCCTCCAACGACAGGACACCCAGATGCAGGAGGAGGTGGAGAAGGAAATGCTGGTTCAGGGGAGGGGGGCTCCAGGCCGGGCAGTGTTGGGGTCAGATGGAGGGTTAGGGTACTAAGCAAGCCACAGACTTCTGGATGTGAGGGTTCAGGAATTTGGGCTGGGGTATGTGAGGGGCTCAGGGCAGGGGGTTCCAGTGTATGACAGGCTCAGATGTAGGGTCTGGGGGAAAGGGGAGCGCAGGCGTGTTATGATGCTGTGGCCAGGTGGGGGCTTGGCCCCAATTGGGGGTTTGTTGGCCAGGCTTCATTTTCAAATAAAATACTGTGTCAAACACAAAACGTTTCTACGTTGTCTTTATTTCTGAGAAGGGCAGGGAACCTGTTTTGAGTCGGGTGTCACTGACCCACAGAAAAGTCAGTTGGGGCCACACAAGTGAGATGCAAAAAAATCCTCCTCCAATCCCCCCCCCCAAGCTCCACTAATGTGGCCCCAACTGTGTTGGTGGGAGCAGGGGACACAGTACTGGGGAAGGGTGCCTCGGCAGGGTGCCAGTGGGGACAGGTTTCTGAGGCTGGGGAGTGGGGAACAAGGGTGTGGGGAGTGGGGAACAGGGGGGCACCCGCCCCACACAAGTGAGATGCAAAAAAATCCTCCTCCAATCCCCCCCCCCAAGCTCCACTAATGTGGCCCCAACTGTGTTGGTGGGAGCAGGGGACACAGTACTGGGGAAGGGTGCCTCGGCAGGGTGCCAGTGGGGACAGGTTTCTGAGGCTGGGGAGTGGGGAACAAGGGTGTGGGGAGTGGGGAACAGGGGGGCACCCGCC